TATGACACAATATGAATATTAAATAGATTGTGATACAATTGAATATGCATACACTATAATATATAAGAGTTTTAGAAACTAATTATTTTGGTCTCTAAAAATAAAAATTTTATTGCAAAAGATATTTAGAGACTAATTTTCATCATCATGCGGATAGTCGCTAAAAGATTGTCTTGAAAAGTCAAAAATAAGGCTTCTAGCGACAAAATTTTGAAAATGCCACTAATAAATAGATATTTAGGGACAATAATTTGGTTTCAAAATGGATTATTTTTTGAGATAAAAAAAATTGGTCCCAAAAAGATAATAATTCATCATTAAAGTCCAATTTTTGTTGTTAAAAATATAATAATGACACTTTTCATAACAAAATTATTTAGCCCCTAAAAAATAACTGTCTTTAAATTTTGGTCACTAAAACCTTAATTTTTTGTAAGGATAAATCAAACAGGATCTGTTTAACTTGTGTAATAATTTGTGTTAATACTTGGATATAAACTCACTATTAACCAGTAAGTAATTCAAATACAACTTAAATCTAGTAGCTATAGTCATTAAATTATATTTTGTTATTTCAAAAAAAACTTGTTTTTGTTAGATATTTGGATATTAATGAGTCGCAATATTTCAAATTGGATGTGTGGAGAATTAGTAATATTTTAAATTATTGTCATGAATATTATCATATAAATTAGAAAAAAGGGAGCTTTTTTGATAAATCCATTTTCTAAGAGTTTTATTTCATCATACCCATATTCTTTTTGACTATTCCATTAGGTCCAATTTGAGATAAGAAGACCAAAATACCCTTTTCATCTACTTATGTTCCATTTAGTTCACATTATTTTTTTATATTTCAATAAGTCCTATGGGTGACATAATTACCAAAATACTCCTAATGCGAATGTTCACACTGTCAATGTGAATGTTCATATCGTCAATGTGTAAGATCCAACCCATATTCTTTTTTACTATTCCATTAGGTCCAATTTGAGATAAGAAGACCAAAATACCCTTTTCATCTACTTATGTTCCATTTAGTTCACATTATTTTTTTATATTTCAATAAGTCCTATGGGTGACATAATTACCAAAATACTCCTAATGTGAATGTTCATACTGTCAATGTGAATGTTCATATCGTCAATGTGTAAGGGCCCGGCCAATGTCGATCCTCGTTGATGCCTGGAAAAATTCGAGTCGGGCCGGGCCGGCCCATAGGCCAAAAAAATAGGCCCGGCCCGGCCCGTTGATAATGTGAATATTCATATTGACAAGTTAACATTCACATTAATAGGAGTGTAAAATTGGCCCGTGGCCTGTGGGCGGCCCGAAACCAGCCCGCCACCCGGGGCGGGCCCGGGCCGGCCCGTTCATAATGTGAATATTCACATTGACATATTAACATTTACATTGATAAGAGTGTAAAATTAGCCCGTGACCCGTGGGCAGCCCGAAACGCGAGCCCGAGCCCGGCCTGTTGACAATGTGAATATTCACATTGACATGTTAATATTCACATTGATAGGAGTGTAAAATTAGCCCACGGCCTGTGGACGGCCCGAAACCCGCCCGCGGCTCGTGGGCTGCCCTAGGCGGGCCCGACCCGACCCGACCCGTTGATAATGTGAATATTCACATTGACATGTTAATATTCACATTGATAAGAGTATAAAATTAGCCCGCGCCCCCGTGACTGCCCGAAACCAGCCCACGTGCCCGTGGGCGGCGGGCGGGCCCGGCCCGGCCTGTTGACAATGTGAATATTCACATTGACATGTTAACATTCACATTGATAAGAGTGTAAAATTGACTCGCGTCCCATGGGCAGCCCGAAGCCCGTGGGCGCCCGGGGCGAGCCGGCCCGGCCCGTTGACAATATGAATATTCACATTGACATATTAACATTCACATTGATAGAGTTAAAATTGGCCGTGGCCCGTGGGCGGCCGAAGCCCGCCCGCTGCCCAGGGCGGGCCCGGCCGGCCCGTTGACAATGTGAATATTCACTTTAATATATTAACATTAACATTGATAACAGTGTAAAATTGGCCGTGACTGTGGGCAGCCCGAAACCCGCGTCCCGGCGAAGCAGGCCGCTTGTTGACACGTGAATATTCACATTGACAGTTAACATTCACATTGTTAAAGAGTGTAACAATTAACCGTGCCCCTGGTTGCCCGAAACCCGCCAACGGCCATGGACGGCCCGGCGGGCCTGGCCCAGCCTGTTGACAATGTGAATATTCACTTGACATGTTAACATTTACATTGATAAGAGTGTAAAATTGACTCGCGTCTCTATGGGCGCCTGGTTTGGTCCGGGCCTACCCCGGGCCGCGGGCGATTTTCGGCAGCGGACAGATTTTACATCCTATCAATTTTAATGTTAACATGCAATGTGAATATTCACATTGTCACGGGTCGGCCAACCCACCTCGGCTGGGTGTCCATGGGCTGCGGCCAATTTTACACTCCTATCAATGTGAATGTTAAATGTCAATGTGAATATTCACATTGCAACGGGCCGGGCCTGCCCTGGCTCGGTCGGGCTTCGGGCGGCCCACGGGTCTGGGCCAATTTACACTCTTATCAATGTGAATGTTAACATGTCAACGTGAATATTCACATTGTCAACAGGCCGGCCCGGGCCGCCCCCGGTCGCCCACAAGCCGTGGCGGTTTCGGGCAGCCCGGGGCGCGGCTAATTATCCACTACTATCATGTGAATTTGTTAACATGTCAAGTGAATATTCCCATTGTTCACGGGTCGGGCCAAGCCCGCTTCGGGCTTCGTCGAGCTTCGGCCGCCCCAGGGCTGGCGGGCCAATTTACACTCTTATCCATGTGAATGTTAACATGTCAGTGGAATATTTCACATGTCGAACGGGCGAGCCGGGCCGCGCCGCCCGGGCGCCGGCGGGCTTTGGCCGCCATGGCCACAGGCCCATTTTATACTCTTATCATATGTAATGTTAACATGTCAATGTGAATATTCACATTGTCACGGGCCGGACGGCCCGCCCCTGGCCGCCCATGGGCGCGGCGGTTTCGCCCCACCAGGCGGGCACAGGGACGGCAATTTACACTGCCTATTAATGTGAATAGTTAACAATGTCAATGTGAAATATTCACATTGTAACGGGTCGGCGGCGGTTTGGCCCGCATGTGGTCTGGCCAATTTTATACTCTTATCAATGTGAATGTTAACATGTCAATGTGAATATTCACATTGTCAACAGGCTAGGCCGGGCCCGCCCCGGGCCGCCCACTGGCCGTGGGCGGGTTTCGGGCAGCCACGAGGTGCGGGCTAATTTTATACTCCTATCAATGTGAATGTTAACATATCAATGTGAATATTCACATTGTCAACGGGCCGGGCCGGACCCTCCCCGGGCGGCGGGCGGGCTTTTGGCCGCCCATGGGTCGCGGACCAATTTTATACTCTTATCAATGTGAATGTTAACATGTCAATGTGAATATTCACATTGTCAATGGGTCGGATCGGGCCCGTCCCGGCCCGTCCATGAGCCGCGAGCGGGTTTCGCGCCGCCACGGGACGCGGGCCAATTTTACACTCCTATTAATGTGAATGTTAATATGTCAATGTGAATATTCACATTGTCAACGCGTCGGGCCTGCCCCGGCTCGCGGGCGGGTTTCGAGCCGCTCACGGGCCAATTTTGCATTCCTACCAATGTGAATTTTAAAATATGAATGTTCATATCATTAAATTGCTAATCGTTCAAAAAATATTTATAAAGGTATCAAAATTGAATATAAGGGCATAAGTGTCCGTGAAAATGGTGTAAATCAAGAAAATGGACTTTATGGAATAAAACTATACATACATGGGACTAAATGGGTTAAAAAATTCCTTCATGGACTTTCTGAGTTAAAACACTTCTAAATTGGACTTATCAATAAAAATCCCTAGAAAAAAGTACTTAGATAAAAATAACTCAAATAATTATATTTTCATAAAATCCGTGGCATCAAACATAATTCTCACTTGGTGCAATTTGTACCTTTAGGAAAGAACAATTATTTTGAGTTAAATCTAATTACGTAATGCTCACTTGGTGCAATTTCTTTTATATATTATTCTTGTGGATACTAATGTTTAAACATGTTATCGTTAGGTATATAGTAATTTGAAACATTTTGTTTGAAATATATAATTAAAATAAATTATTATGCTAATAATATTAGGTGAGTCTTGTTAGAATTGACATAGTTATAAATAGACTAAATTAAGGGTTGTTTGGAAATGTTTTAAATAAGTTTATTTATTTGATAAACACATTTATTTGAATTACATTATATTTTAAAATTTTTTTATAAAATATTAAAAAATACGATAAACTCTCTAAGAGTCTTATCTTTACCCAAACTGAAGTCTTCTCCCAATCTAGGACTCTTGTCCATATCCAAGTTGAGTTCCCTCTTCATTCTAGGACTCTTGTCCCTTATCCTCTTATCTCGGTTTCCGATATCTTCGGAGATAACCTCGGCCTTGCCGAGATCACCTCGGCGTCACGACCAGGACACGTGGCACCTCGGCTGACACGTCGGCGTCACCTTGCCACGTGTTGGTACTTAGAAAATATATCCCCACAAATACGTTTAATAAAATGAATCGTATTAATATTAAAATATTTCAAATACACAATACATATGGTGAGGGGAAAATTACTTTGCTCTCCACAGATAAATTCAAGTCGTGTTCTATATTTTATGGGTTGAAATAGTAAGTCCAGTCATTTTTTTTTTATCTTTATTAAGGATATAATATGACAAGTGTTATAAGTTGTGTGGTATTGAGCAATGTTTTTAAACCATCTAAAGAGATAGATATCAAATTTAAAATCTCATAATTTGTGTGATATAAAATAATATTTCTAATTCACTCAATAATTTGTGTATGGGTCTATTCATGTATGTGTGGGGTGTACAGATTCAAATTTGTGAGGGTCGTGTGGGGATCTTGTGAGAATGGGGTCTCAATCATTGCTCAATTATTTAATAAATTGAACCCCGTGGAGCTCCAATAACAATAACCAAAAAATTTTGATCACCACCATGAACCCATCATCCTTCCATCATATCTCCGGAGCCATTTTCTTTATTCACCTTCTTTTTTGCTTGCTTATCCTCAACAAAACCAAAGCTGCCCCAACTAATCAATACGACATATGCCCAAACACAACAACTTACACTCCCAATAGCACATACGAAACCAATCTCAAAACCCTCCTCTCTGTTCTCTCCTCCAATTCCACCACCACCACCAATGGATTCTCCAACTACACCACTGGCCACAGCCCCGCCGACACAGCCTACGGTCTCTTTCTCTGCCGTGGCGATGTTTCAACCGACGTCTGTCGCGACTGTGTGACCACTGCTACCAAAGATGTACTACAAAAATGTCCCAATTTGAAGGTTGCTACGATTTGGTACGATCAGTGCATATTGCGATGCTCGAACCAATCTATTTTCTCTATTGATGATCAATCTGGGCCTGTAATCTTGTATAATATAGAGACCATAACGGACCCAAACAGGTTTAGAGATGTATTGGCAGGGGTACTGGATGACATAGTGACTCGGGCTTCAAATAATTTGTCTGGAAAGAAGTTTGCGACTAAAGAAGCCAACTTCACATCTCTACAAAAGCTGTATGGGCTAGCGCAATGCATGCCAGACATAACTAGCTTTGATTGCAATAAGTGTCTCCGAAATGCTATCTCGAGTTATCAGAATTGCTGCGATGGAAAAAAAGGTGCGAGAGTTCTGTATTCTGGCTGCACTTTCAGGTTTGAGACTTACCCTTTTTACAACACTGCTGCAATTGCCGCTGCACCACCGCCTTCCCTGGTCCTTCATCCTCCTCCTCCTTCTCCAACTGGTCCTTCAATTAGTCCAGGTAAGCTCCTAATAAGACATATGGACCATTCATTGATCTGGAAAGTTTTTCAAAATATAATTATAAATCAGTTTTGAACTTTATAGATATTAATAATTAAAGTTATAAATTCTTTTTAAGAAATCGTAATTACTTTTGAAAAATCTACTAAATTGTAATTTTCTTTATATAATTAGTCGGTTTTCAATTATGACCGGTTTGGCCATGGAAAGTCTACAAACAAAGAAAAAAAAAAAAGGACAACGGTGACTTATGCGGCCCGTGAGATTGGTTTGCACCTTAATTTTGATAATTTAAACTACTTAAATTTTAAGAAGTATTAAGAAAAATATATTTATAAAAAATTAAATTAATTGAATATCAATAACTCTTTCATCAAAACACATCTGTATATATAAAAACTATATATATGTATGTATCAAAGCATATTCATTTTTTTTTATATATAAATGTGTTTTGATGAAGGGGTTATCAATATCTAATTAACTTGATTTTTTAAAAGTACAATCTTCTCCATATTTTCTAAAATTTAAACTGTTGAAATTATCAAAATAAGTCTCGAAACGAATCCTACAGACTGCACAACAGTCACCACTGTGCTTGATGCACATTAGTGACCCTAAATCTGAAAAAGAAGTATACAAAATATTTCAGAATATGTCAAATTTATGGTGTATAATTAAAGTTGTTAGTGTGAGGCCACAACAATAAATAAAAGTTTTAAGAATCAAATTTTTGTCTCCAACGGAGAAAATTTTGTTCTAAAAAATATTGGGTACCAATTTCTGCTGTTGTTACAATAGTCGTTAAAAGGTCATTCCCCAAAGTAAAGAAAAAAGAAAAGACTTTTAGCCTCCGTTTGGCAAGAAAAAGCCCAGGCTTTTTTGGCTAAGATAGCCACAAAAAATAAAATAGGCTATTTTAGCCACAAAAAACAAAACATCAAATCCAACCAATAATCATTACAATCCTCTCTCACAAAAAAAGTCAAAAAAACCAAAAAGCCAAAAAGTCCTTCCCAAACCAGGCTAAAATAGCCAAAAAGCCAAAAAACCAAAAAGGCAACCCACTTCCCAAACGGAGGCTTAGTAATAAAATTTTGATAATGTCACTAATAAATGTTGACAAAATAATTTTGTGCTAAAAAAGTTTACTTTTTTGAGACAAATTTTAGTCCCAAAAGGATAGTAATCTATTATTAAATATTCAATTTCATTGCTAAAAATATAACAATAATGAGTATGTTTGGTTTGAGTTTTCTAGATTAAGTTTTTTAAAAACTGACTTTTTTAGTTTTCGTGTTTTTTTATTTTTAGTGAATATTTTTTAAATTTTAAACATTTTTTTTTACTTTTTTAAATGCACCTTACTTAGATGTATCTAAAAAGTAAAAAACTTGTGAAAAAATATTTTAAAAAATTAATAAATACATAAAAATACAAAAAATGTACTGAATTCTTGTATTTTTTTTGTATTTTTGGTATTTAGTGAATTTTTAAAAGATTTTTTTTGCAATTTTTTTACTTTTTAGGTCTATTTATGTTAAGTGTGTCTAAAAAGTAAAAAAATTGCTTAAAATATTAAAAAAATTCAGTAAAAACAAAAAAATACGAAAAATAAGACAGTAGAATTTTCTGAAAAGTGTTTTTTAAAAAGTGGAAAGAAGCAAGGTGAATATTTTTGACAATAAAAATAATTTATTCATAAAAAGTGATTTTGTGTCTAATTTTTATCTCTAAAAACTTAATTTATTATAGTAAACATCGATTCTTAGCATTTGATTGCAAATTCTAGACTGTTTCTTGTAGAGGTGAGCATGGTGCACTTTTGATTTGTAAAGTTTATCCTCAAATTGATTCATTTCTCCCATGTTTATATTCTCAATGGAACAATTTTTTTATTGATGTAGGAAAGGGAGGAATCTCGTCGCAAGTACTCGTTGCCATCATTGTTCCAGTTGGAGCCTCTGTTTTGCTTTTCATCATAGGCTTTTGTTTCCTACGCAGGAAAGCAAAGACGAAACGTGATGATACTAAAGACGATAGTGGTAATAAAATATATATATATATATATATGATAAACAATTCATGACTGAAATGTTGACAGTGTCCTTTAAAAATGAAAACGCTTTCACAAGCTTTTGCTTTAAAATGATCAGGAATGATACAATCAACACCTGGCATGTCACTATGTATTAATCTTTTTATACATATTTTTGTTTATATAGCATTAATCATCAATAAATTGATTACATTTATCTTTTGACTTGTCCAGCTGTGAATGAAATCACAGCAGTTGAGTCCTTGCAATATGATTTTGGTACTATTCAAGCAGCCACAAACAACTTCTCTGATGATAACAAAATCGGTGAAGGTGGATTTGGTCATGTCTACAAGGTAAGATGTTGCATTTAATTATATTGGATTTGATTTATTCAAAAAAATATATACATATAACATTTAATTCTAAAATTTCAATGAATGCCGTATATTCACAGGGTAAACTTATTAATGGAAAAGAAATAGCTGTCAAGAGGTTATCTCAAAACTCAGGGCAAGGTGGAGAAGAATTCAAGAATGAAGTTTTGCTGGTAGCCAAGCTTCAACATAGAAATCTAGTGAGACTACTAGGATTTTGCTTGGAAGGAGAAGAGAAGATACTCATTTATGAATTTATGCCCAACAAAAGCCTTGACCACATTCTATTCGGTTTGGAAAATCTTAACAAATCTAGTTCTTAATAATGCTTTACATTTGGTTTCATAAAAACACATGATTGTGATCTCTGATTGCATGCATTCTTGTGCTTGTGTTTCCATTCAAATTGTATGACATTAACACATTTTGTAACCAATTGCTTATTAATAACTTGAGCATTTATTATGATCAATCTACAGATTCCCAAGAGCACGGAAAATTGGATTGGCCAAAACGTTATAAGATTATTGAAGGGATAGCTCGAGGGATGCTCTATCTTCATGAAGATTCCCAACTTAGAATTATACACCGTGATCTCAAAGCTAGTAATATTCTGTTAGATGGGGCCATGAATGCAAAAATTTCAGATTTCGGCATGGCAAGGATCTTCGGTGTGGATCAATCTCAAGGAAATACAAGTCGAGTCGTTGGAACATTGTAAATTTTCTCTCCCCAAAAACCTTATATTTGTTTTACCATAATTTGATTGAGTTAGGCAATCTCAAGTAAAACATCAAACTAACTCTTCAAAAAACTCCCTTTCGGATTTGAACAAAAACAGAGATGTACTATGTCTAGTTTTGTTGGCTTTTTGGCTTTTCGAAGGGTATTTTTGTGAATGTGAGCGTGCCAGCAAGGATCAATCAGTCCTTACAGAAATTATAATTGCCAACCAATTATCAGACGATTGTGTTTTAGTTCTTTTCAGCCTCAATGAAGAGGACTTTTACTGGTGGCTTGACTTAGGAGAAATTAAGAGAAATAACAGTAATATGAAGAACAATTGAAGTATTTCATAAAAATGAACACTTACAACGGTCCGAACTCAGCCTCGGAGAGGTTTACAACAGCAATCTACTTGAATCTACTTGAAGCTACTCCTATGAATCGAAGTGCAGTGCGAGTATTTAAAGTGCAGGTATTTAAAGAACAGGTATTTAAGGACTGGAAATGTAAATGACTGGAAAGAAAATATATGAAGTAAATGACTGGTTTGTATGGTCTGAGTCCGTCCCTCTTTCTGGGGGCTACCCTGCTATTTATACTCGTCAGTGATGACCTTCGAACTGCACTTCGAACTGTCGAACTGCTCCTCCATGATCGCTGGTCATGCTTCCTTACAAGTAGCTCCATTACGCCATTACTGGCAGTTGAGCTTCCCTCTTGTACTTAGATTTGAATATGAGTAACCGTTTGAAGACACGTCATCTTGCATCCCGTTTATTTGATCTAGTGTTACTCGGATCATGTGAGGACCAATGTTTATTGTCACGTGTACGATCAGGATTAAAGGCTTGAATAACCTTCCTTTATTACCCTTACTATGCCACGTGTCGAACTGTAACTGGCTTTTACAAAATATGTAGCCAACAAGTTTCCTACACGTTCTTCAATGGACTGCACTTTTTTAGTTGAATATTGGCACATAATGTCCTCAATTGTTTTATTTCTGATTTAATCCGAAATGAATGTTAGATGGATTTGGTTGTTGCTTTCTAGTTATATTGATAAACTAATGGAGCTGGCTTACAGCGGTTACATGTCTCCGGAATATGCAATGCATGGACGGTTCTCTGTAAAGTCCGATGTTTATAGCTTTGGTGTATTAGTTTTGGAGATCATAAGTGGCAAGAAAATCAGTGACTTCGATCAATCAAACAACGTTGAGGAGCTGCTTAACTATGTGAGTAACAACAATACATTACAACTATTTCTTTATTAGTGCCTATATCATCACATCCACAAGACATTTGTGATAAATTGTTTCAGGCTTGGAAACTTTGGAAGAACGGAACACCATTGAAATTGATGGATCCAACTTTGGAAGTATCGTATTCAAGAAATGAAGTCTCCAGATGCATCCATATTGGTTTGTTGTGTGTTCAAGAAGACCCAGACGCTAGGCCCTCCATGGCAACAGTAGTTTTGATGCTCAACAGTTACACTATTACCCTAGCAATTCCTAAAGAACCTGCATTCTTTTGTCCTAGTAAAACAGGGTTAAATATAGGACAAGGTGTAGAGTCAGATCAATCTACAAGTAAGTCAATACCATTGTCTGTGAATGACGTAACAATTTCTGAATTAGACCCTAGATAATATGAGAAGCCTATGACATATCCAAGGTTGACGGATAAATTTACAGTGTGAAATGAATACAAGTAAACTCAAACACTCTAGTGGGTTAGTTATATTTTTAGTTCCAAATGTGAGTCTTATGCTGTGCCATTTTAATTTCTACTGTTTAAATTGTATTTCAATTTAGTTTTCAATATATAATTGTATTAATCTAATTTCCAATATATAAAAAATATTTCAACTTAGTTCCCCAATAACTTGAATTTGCCTATATAGCCATTGAAGCACCACATAAATATATACTATTCTTTTGGTAACTGAGTGTTGAGAAATATACAATAGACTTCAGGGAAATTCTATAATAAACGTATTGAAAAATGTGTGTATCATATGTCTCAGTGATGATATTTGTGGCATTTGATTATAATTCATTACGATGTTAGTTTTGACTTAATTATGATTCATTATAATGTTAATTATGACCTATTGTTGTTGTTACTTAAGTTATGACTAAAGAGGTTTTGGTTATACCTCAAGTGATATTTTGGTTATGACCATTGAATATCCTTTTCGAAGTACCAAAAAATAAAAAATAAAAAAAAGGTTATGACCATTGAATGATAAATATAATTTTAATAATTGACTATCTATTTTTTAGTAGGCAAAATAATCTCTACAATCTAATTGAAATGATGAACGAATTGACGCCCATTTTAAAATGATCTATTTCATTTTCAATATATCATTTTGCACTTGAAAACTATCTAATTTCTTAATGGATATTATTAATTGAAAAAAATTGATACAAAAAAAATTAATAAAATGAAAATTACAATGGCCAAATTAAGAAAAGAAAAATGACAAGCATCACGGTATCCTTTGACTTATTATCTCATGTATCACAATAGTTTTATTGGCTAAATGAATTCCGTTACTTACATCGATTTTTAATATAGTTGTGATATATCAAAAATTGAACAATTGTTAAACATACTAACAAAAATCTTATAACAAAATTTTTTTTTTTAATTTGTCAATCGATCTGAGAGTAGTACAAACAAAATTGCTTCGTAGCTCGAATATCCTTGGCTCGAGTGGCTTCAAAGTACTATTTTTCTCTCTCTCCTCTGTTAATGTATACTTCTCTATCTGTATTATTTATCCATTTGTATTGTAGATATATCTTATCTTTATCTTTATCTCTCTCTATCTCTATCTCCTTGTCTCTCTATCTCTATCTTTTGCTACACTTATCTAGGTTTCTTTTCAGCCTATACATACAGGCTTCTCCTATTGTATGTTATTCAATTCAATAGAATACAGATACACAATTCTCAAACAATTGTTAAACATACTAACAAAAATCTTATAACAAAATTTTTTTTTTTAATTTGTCAATCGATCTGAGAGTAGTACAAACAAAATTGCTTCGTAGCTCGAATATCCTTGGCTCGAGTGGCTTCAAAGTACTATTTTTCTCTCTCTCCTCTGTTAATGTATACTTCTCTATCTGTATTATTTATCCATTTGTATTGTAGATATATCTTATCTTTATCTTTATCTCTCTCTATCTCTATCTCCTTGTCTCTCTATCTCTATCTTCTGCTACACTTATCTAGGTTTCTTTTCAGCCTATATATACAGGCTTCTCCTATTGTATGTTATTCAATTCAATAGAATACAGATACACAATTCTCACATTTCTTTCAACCATTATAGCATGGTATCAGAGCTCTAGGTTCTACACTTATAGCCCTTTTCTTTTCTCTTTGTGCTTAGTCTTGTACACAGTGGCACTACAACATTCATTCCATCATCCATATACTTTATTATCTCTGTTCCAGCACTACTTCATTGTTAGTTTTATCCAAAAAAATTTCCCTTACCACCAAATTGATCGGAATCTCCTCACAATTCCAACAGCATCAATCACGTCACTAGAAACGCCTCCACGCACCTTCACGAACCAATTCTGTGCTCAGTGCGTCTCAGCTTCCACTGTCACTCTCACACGCGCCCTTACACACCGTTCAGTTGCTTGTTCACGTCAGCACCTGACGTCAGCCCTGCGCCTGCGTGCATCGTACCTGCCGCTATGCACCGCGCATGCGCCGTTCTGAGATTGTGCGCCCATATGCACCAATCTGATCTTGTGCGTTGCGCGCGCCTTTCTGTTATTGTGTGTTGTACCTCCTACTAAGGTCATCCAACCTCCTGCTGATGTCATCTCTGCATAGCAGACCCCTTTTCTAGCTACTTTGGACCTTCTAGACTCACTAGTACGCTCTGTTTTCCTGATTTTGCTCCTACAGGTTTGTTCCTATTTATTTAGTCCTCCCCCACTATTATTATGGATCGCCATGATGCCTCCCATCCGATTTCTGTTCTTCTTGATGGATCCAATTATATTCTGTGGGCCTAGGCCATGTCTTTCTTCCTCAAAGGTCGAAAACTCTGGCATATTATCATCGGGGATATGACCAAACCGGTGAAACAGGTCGCTGAAATTGCTACTACATATAAAGACCGACTAGAAGATTGGGACAGTAAGAACTACCAGATCATTACTTGGCTTTAGAATACCTCTGTTCCCTCTATTAGTCTTCAGTTTGGTCGCTTTCATCTTGACTCTGTTACCACTCCTGCTAAAGACATTTGGGATTTTTTGAAAGAACGATACCAGACTACCGGTCTTGCCCATTAGTATCAACTTCAAAGTCAACTTCATCGCCTACGTTATGAGCCTGGTCAGTCTGTTAATGATTTCCTCTCTCAAATATATTCTGTCTGGGACCAGCTCGCTCTCTCTGAACCTGCCTGGCCTCATATTGAAGATGCTGATTTCTTCACTCAGTATCATAATCACCAACGATTGGTTCAGTTTCTCATAGCTCTCACTACCTAGTTTGAGCCCATGTGTACATCTCTACCCCATCACTCTCCATTGCCCACTCTTGAGCAGGCTATTTCTGAGTTATTATCTAAGGAGATTCGTCTTGGTCCTCTGAAGACTCCTCATATGGATACAGTTCTTACCACTCGTCACTCACTGAGTTCTTCTGCACCAACCACCCAGCGGCCCAATACTTCCAATTATTGTTAGAATCAGGACCTGCCTTCTACTCATATTCTGCTTCATTGCCCAGTTAGATCCTGTCGGTATTGCAACAAGATTAGTCCTGGTTATTTGCAGCAAGATTTCTTTCACAATCTAGACCGCTTATCTAATACTCACTCCTTTCGTGGCGCTTCCACTCGGTCGTTCACAATGTCTCGAGAATCAGTCTAGATCTCTACCTGCTCATCGCACTGCTGCTGCTGTCTCTGAGGAGTTTTTTGAGCCTTTAGATCTAGCCGCTTCTGTCTTTTCCCAAACTAATGTTGAAGCCATGTTCAAATAGTTTCTCATCACCTCTGGTACACCTCTTTCTACTGCTCTGTCTGTGACTTCAGAAACATCTTCCTTGTATTTTGACTCAGCATGCTGCAATCATATGACTTCTAGTGCTACTATTTTCTTCTATCTCTCCCTTTCCTCATATTCCCTCCATTCATACTGCTGATGGTTCTCTTATGTCTGTAAGTCATATTGGTTCTATTTCCACCTCTCATCTATCCTTATCAAATGTTTATCTTATTCCTGCTCTCACTTTAAATCTTATCTTTATTAGTCAATTATGTGAGCTTAGTCTAACTGTCACATTTTCTACCAATGGTTGTTTGGTACAGGACCCTCAAACGGGGCATACTCTTGGGATTGATCGTAAGCATGGACGTCTCTATGATCTCATTCATCTTCATGTTTCAGACTCCACCCCGATAGTTGCTCCTACATCTACTTCCAACATGTCTCCTTTTAATATTTGGCATTGTCGTTTAGAACATATTTCTATTAGTCGATTGAAATATTTAGTTTCTACTAGTTAGTTAGGTCATGTCATTACCGATACTTTGGATTGTTTATCTTGCCAACTTGCAAAACAACATGCTTTATCATTTAATGCAAGTACTTCTGTTTCTCATGCACCATTTGATCTTATACATTCTGATATTTGGGGACCATCAAACCTCCTATTGTAAGGCTTGTACTAATCCTCTTTGGCAACAAGCTATGACTGATGAATTATAGGCATTAGACAAAACTCATACTTGGGATGTTATTAATCTTCCTCTTGGAAAGATTGCGATTGGCTGCAAATGGATATACAAAATCAAGACCCATTCTGATGACTCTATTGAGTGCTACAAAGCCCGTCTTGTTACAAAGAGCTTCACCCAAGAATATGGCATTGATTATGAGGAGACTTTTGCTCCGGTTGCTCGGCTTACCTCTGTGAGTAGCTTACTTGCTGTTGCCGCTGCTCGCCATTGGGATCTCTTTCAGATGGTTGTCAAAAATGTCTTCCTTAATGGTGATCTTCTTTAGAAAATCTACATGCAACCTTCCCTTGGGTCTGCTTATCCGGCTCATAAGATTTGCAAACTACAGCGTGCTCTCTATGGTCTCAAGCAAGCTCCACGAGCTTGGTTTGCTAAATTCAGTTCCACCATCCATGACTTCGGTTTCACCTCCAGCTCATATGACTCTGCTCTATTTGTTTAGACCACTCCTAATGGCACCACTCTTCTTCTTCTTTACGTGGATGATATGATTATCACTGTAATGATGTGGCTAGTATTCTTAGCCTCAAACAATTTCTCAATTGTTAGTTTGAGATGAAAGACCTTGGAACTCTCAATTATTTCTTAGGGCTTGAAATCTCTCATGATTCCACTGGTTATTATTTGTCACAAGCCAAATATGCATCCAATCTTTTGGCATGTCCAGGTCTCACCGATTGCAAGACTACCTCTAGTCCCATTGATCCTCAAACTCGTTTCACTCCTATAGACGGAGATCTTCTCTCTGATGTTACGCTTTATCGCCAGCTGGTAGGTAGTCTTGTCTATCTCACTGTGACTTGTCTTGACATTATCTATGTTGTCCATCTTGTTAGTCAATACATGTCGGCTCTCCGCACCCCTTATTATACTGCTCTACTATGCATACTTTGCTACCTTAAAGGCACTATGTTCTATAGACTCCACTACTCTGCTCACTCTTCTCTCAAGTTTCGTGCTTTTCTGATGCTGATTGGGTTGGGGATCCTACTGATTGACGCTCCACCACGGATTTTTGTTTCTTCTTAGGGGATTCTCTTCTTACTTGGCGCAGCAAAAACAGTCCCTCACTGCTTGCTCTAGTACTGAAGCTGAATATCGCGCTCTTGCTGACACTACTCAGGAACTTTTGTTGCTTCGCTAGCTCCTTGCTGTTATGGGTGTTTCTTCCTCTAGTGCAACCTCTCTCGATTGTGACAATTAGAGTGCCATTTAGATTGCTCACAATGATGTCTTCCATGATCCCACTAAACATATTGAGATTGATTGTCATTTCATTTGATAACATTTTACTCGTGGCACTGTTCATCTTCTCCCTATTTCTTTTGTTGATCAACCTACTGATATTTTCACCAAGACTCATCCTCCTGGTCATTTCAGTGATCTAGTTTCCAAACTCAAGTTGGTTGATGCTTACCCACCTTGAGTTTGAGGGGGGCTGATAATGTATATTTATCTATCTGTATTACTTTTCCATTTGTATTGTAGATATATCTTATCTTTATCTCTCTCTATCTCTATCTCTTTGTATCTCTATTTCTTTCTATCTCTATCTCCTTTTATACTTATCTAGGTTTCTTGTCAGCCTATATATATAGGCTTCTCCTATTGTATGTTTTCCAATTCAATAGAATACAGATACACAATTCTCACATTTCTTTCAACCATTCTAACATCCTTTATCTCTTGCATCTCATCTCTTCTACTCTCTGTCTATATTCTCCAAACAAAAAAAAGGATTGAAACACTCTCATCACTCTCACCTATCTCTACGTATCCCTCTCATTCCATAGATCTCTCTCATCTCTATTAAACCTTCCAATCACTCTCTGATCGCGGAAGGAGGACGAATGACGGCCTACGACAGCGAACGACGGCCTATGACAGCGAACGACGAATGACGAAATATAGTACACAATAACTCCTTACATATCGGCAGCTGAAAGTCCTCATTTCTATGTTGGGTCTACTTGTATTTTGTCTCCATTGTCGAGTTCTCTGCCTCTACTTGCTTTCTTCACTAAGAAAAGTGTTTTGGGTACCAACAATAGCGATGCTAAAACTGATCTACGACGAATTCTGGGGCTTGACTTGCTGTGAATTTGATCAAATCACAATGATGATGATGATGGGTTTGCGATGTTTCTGATGAGTTTGTTTTGTTTGGTTGCTCCAATTGGTCATCTTTCCCTTATTTTTATTTTTATTTTTTTTGTGGGAAATCTCAGATTGGAAAAACCAAGCTCTTAACTTTTCTTTTCAATTAGGTGCTTTGTGCCAAGTTATGAACTTTTCTCTTCAATATGTAATTGATCTGTTTGAATCCTTATATGTAAACCACTCCTAATTTATATATACATACAAATAAGGATTTTTGGGCATTTCTAGTGAATGGTGATGACGATTCATTTGATTGGATAATTGGGTTTTATGGGTTGTGGATTATGGTGTTTGTGAACTTATGCGTGTTCAATGCTTTTGTACAAACAAGGAGTTGCCTATCTTGGGCGGCCGGCCAATTAATTAGCCAGCTGGCCAACTTATTGGCCGGTTGGTCACTTTATCCACTTTATTGATAAACCATATGACTTTAACTATCAATGAATTATGATAGCTATGAGATTTGAGCACTTTTCCTAATGCTTTTAATGTTGTCGGTTTTGCTTGGCAAGATTGAGTTCCTGATACGCTACTGATGTTGATCTTAGGATTTATTTTTAAATTAAGTATTTTGTTTTCTAATATATGATTTAGAGTTTTTTGTATCGTTAATGTTGCCCAATGATGGAATTCATTCTCATGAGATGTTGCTTAGATTTTTGTAACAAGCCATCTTTGTCATAGCGCCCAAGAGCCAAACTAATTTTTATACAAACAATCACACCTAGCAGCAGCAGCAGTGGTAGCACCCTTGCGACACACATAGCAGCGGCAGCGGCAGCAGTAGCAGCAGATTAGTCAGCAATACACAGCTAGGTTAGTTGGTCTCCTCTCTCTCTACTCTCTGTTCTCTCTCTCTCTCTCCTTTTTTTTTATGTTTGAAATGAAATGTATGGGTGAACAGAGATGGGGCTCTACAAAGAAATGGGGTTGTACAAAGAAATCGAGCCACTTGAGCCAGATGGATTCGAGCTACATAGCGGGACTGTAATAAAAATATGAGAAACAATACATCAAATTGAATAATTAAAGTCCAAACAATAGTTTGAAAGCACACCAAATTAGGAAAGCAATAAACAATAAAAATAAACATTATAAAGGTATCAGCTTTTCTCCATAAGAATTAGAGTAAACTACCAATAAGTCTTAATAGTTGAACACATAAAGTCCTATTGAAAATAAGTCCTAATAAAATCGTTGCTAAAAATAATTTTTGTGACGATTTTTTTGTATGTGTTGCTAAAAATTGACAATTATTGACTTTTTTTATTACGATTTTTATAAATTGTTGTTAAAATTTATAATTATTGACGTTTTTCTTTGAAGAAATTTTCAAACAAGTAATTTTTTTGCGACATTTTTTTTTAAACTTAGGCTAAAACTTATAATTAGTGACATGTTTTGTAACAATTTTCAAACTGTAGCTGAAATATAATAATTAGTGACATTTTTTTAATAGTGTTTCATGAAAAATGACATTAATTATCATAAAACCTATTAGACAATAAATCTACCTATTAAAACTTACAATAAGTCTCCCTAAGAATTAAATCCAAACAACCACTGTGTCAAAGGCCTAGTTAACATTTTCTCACTAATTAATGCGCGTCTGATAATAAAATTTTCAAACTTAAAACAAAAGCCACTTTAATGATATGGTAAAAAAAAAAAAAAAAAATTATGAAGCTTATTATTACTTTTTTAAAAAAAAAAAAAAAGATTTCTGTATAATGTTACTTTTAATAAAAAATTAAAAAGTTAATTGAGGTATTTGTCATTGTCTAAAAAATTTAAAATCACATTAACTTCTTTACTTATAAAAATATATTTTTAAAATTTTTTAAATAAATAATTTTTTTAAATTAAAAAATAAAAATCAACCCAAAAACTCACTCAAAAAATAGCATTATTTTATTTTTTCAAAATGAAAAGAAAGAGGTTGAAAGGCAGTTGGAGTTTGAATCTAAGGCCTCGTTTGTTTATTGGATTAAGTAAGATAGGACTATTATTACTGTGTGATTAGAGATTACTAGTTTGATGGTATTAAATTGAAGATGTAAGATAAGTTATATTTGTTTGTACACTGATGTAATGAAAGTAATTGGTTAGGATTAAATTTATAAAATTACATAAATGCTCTCTTTATATAGAAGGTGACTTTGTCATTTTTGTAAAGTGAATGACAAAAATATTTCTAACTTTAATTAGATTTCAATCCCCCCTCACTCATGGAATTGCTAGTTCTCTCCTTAGAAGGGTTTTATAATCGCATGAGACTTTTAATCACATTACAATTTTTCAAAACAAATGCAATTTTTATAAGTCTTACCTTAATACTAATTCAATCCCATTCTTAGGGTTGCAAATATGCTTAGCCGACCAATCTTTTAAGTGTTCATGCTTGTTTACGAGGATTTAGTTGAGCTTTAGCTCAAGTTGAGCTTAAATAATCGAGTTCGAGTTCAAGCTCGAAAAAACATATTAAATTTAAATTATTTCACTAATTAAAATAAAATATGAAAAATTATGAAAAAAATATACAAGAATACTTATATTAATAATAAATTTCATCAATTAAATATGTAAATTTATATAAATACCAAACACAAATAAAAATTTAAATAAATTATTAAAAAATATTAATTTATTTATTTTTATATTTATGAATCTTATCAAGCCGAGTTTGGGACAACTTAAGATTGACAATTAATAAACAAGCATAAAAATTAAGCTTAAATTTATACTTTTAGTGAACAAATTGAGTTTTAACTGAGTCAGCTTAAATTGTTCATGACCAACTTAATTCATTTGCAATCCTACCTATCATTCATATCTGAAAACAAAAACCTGCAAACAAACAGAGCCTAAGCTCACATAGTATAGGAGGATGATGTTTTTGTTTTTTTGAGCGAATAGGAGGATGATGCTGATGGTACATGAATACTAACTTTTTTTTGTTGTGAGTGCATGTTCCGAACGACCATGTCACCATTCCACTCCCAATCCACACGACAATCATAGATTTTTTTGTTTGTGTGGACTCCTTATTTAACCACTTCTAGGTACAAGAATTCAATGGGGGCCTTTAGGATCGTTTAGCGATAACTTTTTTAATTAATTTTTTAATTTTTTTAAACTTTTTTAGTTGGAGATTTTTTTGATTGTTTAGTATTTTTGTTTGGATTTTTTGACTTTTCAGCTTTGGAATGATCAATTTTTTTTATCTTTTTTGTGATTTTTAACTTTTTGACTTTTTAAATTTTTTTTTGTCTTTTTATGATTTTTTTTTTAGCTTGAGAGGAAAACTAAACGAGCACTTAATGTTTATTGACTACCTTTCCGTTGGTCGTCGCCGTCTGAGCCATGCCAATGTTAATGTTTTCCATCTCTACCACTGTTTTCCTCCTCACCGTTTCTCTACCCTTTATCTTATGGCAAATATTCAAAAAGTGCCACTAAACATTATTTAATATTGAAAAATGTGTAAATTTTTTAAAAAAATATATAAAAATATTAAAAAGTACATGCATTTAAATAAAAATATATTAATTTTTTTTAAAAAAAATGACTTAATTTTTTTAAATTTTTTATCTTTTATGTCTTAGGAGTACCTTTTAGGAGGACCCTTGTCTTATTTGGGTTGGATATGTAAAATAAAAATATATTAATTTTTTTTAAAAAAATGACTTAATTTTTTAAAATTTTTTATCTTTTATGTCTTAGGAGTACCTTTTAGGAGGACCCTTGTCTTATTTGGGTTGGATATGTAGATGGTCAAATTTTAAAGGGTAAATTACACTCAATTTTCTTGGTTTGCATAAAATAAAATAAGCATTATAATTTTAAAATAATTATATTAATTTTCTTAA